ACATCAAAACTTTATATTTATTATGTTTCTATATTCTAAAATACATTTACATTTTGGAAATAATCAAATATACACACGGATAAATTTTCTGATCAAAACATAAAATAAAAATTGAAACTTGCTAACATGAATGACTCAAGAATGATTTATATCTTGTTTATCATGTATTTAATATCTGCTCCCTCCAAGATTATGATGATGATGATGATGAAGAATGTTTTTAAACATTTTTTTAATAATTTTCAAATTCTGAAATTCATCTATATTTGCAAATATTTTCTATTGCCTTAAAAAATATTAATGTTCTTTGAAAGTTTTTTTGTAACACAATTTGAAATGTGTGTGTGCAGGAAGAAAATTGTGACAAAATTTTCTCAAACTGATCAAACATTAATGTATAATTTAAGTGCTTCCCAGTCAATAAATGGTGGGATGATAAGAAACTTTATGCTTTGCCATGTCTTTGAAGACTACACTAATTATAATCATCCTGGACAAAGAGTGGGATAAAATAATACTTGACAACATTAATAATATTCCCTAGTAACATAAAATAATGTTAGAATATATTTGTTTTTCATAATAGTTTATTTTTATTTATTTAATGTTGAATCATTACACCCCAAGCAAAGCAATAAAGCCATGAAGATACAAGGGGTTACTTAATGTGAAAGGATATAAGAAAAACATTATTAAAGAGAGAGAACAATAAAAGAATAGGAATTAAGAAAACAGAAGACAAAACACATTGAATTTAAATTTTTGAAGATCAGGGAAAGCAAGAATCCAGAAGTGTGTGAAAAGAAATTGTTAACATATAAGTTACAGTTACATCTAGCAGCTGTAAAACTGTAAAATGATGAAACCATGCTGCCAATCTAGTACTGTGCTTCAATTCATAAAGTCTAGGTACCATAAAGGAAAGTTCATCAGAACAATTACCATGAAAAGATTTATAGAAAAAGCACAAGGAATATATGCTGTGGCGGTGGGAAAATGACTGAAGGCAAGATGCCAGGACAGAACCAGTAACAATGCAGATTCTTCTTTGTATTTTATTAAGAATCTCTGAATATATAGCAGAAGCACAAGACCAGATGTGGCAGTGATATTCGATGCATGGATGAATGGTAGACTTATAAAGGTGTAAGATAGAGTATGGTGTGAAAAATTGTCTAGCACAATATAGTGAATTAACTTTTGTAGCAGCAGACCTAGCAATTGATTCAATATAAGCTTTCCACTTCATGTAAGTGGAAATCACTAGTCCAAAAAAAGCACAATGAGTCACTCTCTTGTAGCATTTCTCACCTCATTTAACAACAGATTGTAAGTCATTTTTTAGATCAGCTGCCAATTTGATCTGATAAGACTTACTATTAAGACAGGAGTAAATAGTTGTGTCATCAGCATAGATATGAAGTTGAGAACTGATGACATCAGGAAGGGCATGTATGAAAATTAAAAACTATGTAGGTTCAAGGAAAGAGCCCGGGGTGGGGGGTGTTGGGAGTACACATAGATTAATGCAATGTGACTTAGAAAAGTGGCAATTTAATAAGAAAAAATAAATCAGTTCAAAAATTCTTCCAGTAATACCATAACCTTTCAACTTGTAAAGATGAAGATTTCCAACAAGTAGGAAAGCAAGAAGCAGCAAGGCATTTATTGTGGAGTTTAGAGAGAAAGGTAGCCAGTTCAGGAGCACATTTCTTAAGGTTTATTGCAGGAATATCATCCAGTTCACATGTTTTTGTGGGGATCTAATTTCAACATTATTATTGTAGATTTACCAGGATATGTTTAGAAGTAATTAAGATATTCAACAATAGTTATATGATTATTCCAAGTAATTTGCTGATTGGCAAAACAGCAAGTAACAATTGTTCTTCCTCTGTTCTATATAATAAATGTCAATGTCAATGTGTCACACTTTTTCAACTTTACACCTAGAGGCCATAGCCCAACATATCATACAATTTTGGAAACAGGCTGACACCATGAGCAAATTAAAAAACACATTCTGGGAATGATCCAGACCCACAATCCTGAAATTTTGGATTCCCAAGTTTTCATAACTGATTTTTTCGGCAATTTTTTTTACATGATTTTTTGTGATGAAATAAAAATAATTGTTTGTATGGAAAGTAAGGACTTACATACATCAAATTGTCTTTACATTAAGTGGCAGCAGAAGAATTATCATTGAACTTTTAAAAGGTAAGCTTAACTATTAATGTAATACTTAAATGCAGTAATCAATTTTGAGTTCTCCTATAGTTTATTGTTCCCTATTGCATCTACTCCTCCCTATCTATTGTGATGAAGGCCCAAATCAAGAGGCCTCCACAGGAGCTAACTTAGATGCCACCCTATCAGCTAGTTTCAAATATATATCAGTAAGTAATATAGATCTTTTGATACATGAAACTTTATTATTATAGAACAAATAGGTGAGAGCAGTTCAGAGTAGATGTGAGAAAACAGATTAAAAATTTTATGCTTATTCAGAAGCACAAACCTGAAATGTTAATGAGGAAACCGCTTAGCAAAAAGATACATAAATTTCAAGACTAAAAATGATTATCAGTTATATTAAAATGCCTAAAACTCAAGATAGAGAAAACTAACCTAACTATGACTTAAAGTAAGTGACTGATAAAAGATTCATGCTCTTAACCTTTATCACTTTGTATATGTCTTCATTTGCTGTACAAAAAGTTTATCCTGGCACTGAAGGTGACTCTGGTCCCTGAACAATAGTGTGTTTGAATTTCATAGTTGTGTTGTCATATTCTGCTATGGCAACAGAAAACAAATTTGAGTGAAATTAACAATAAGGATACTGCAATTGAAAGGCCTTGATAAAAGAATGCAGTAGAAAGGGAAGTAATATTAATAATGCAGAATGCTAAAGGTTAAAACAAATTTACTTTTGGAGTATATTAATTCACTTCCTTGAAACTTAGACTTATCTATTTCCATATAAGATATTGAAATGTACATTTTTCAATAAATATTTCATTGCTGATGTGAGATCAACATGAAAATGTTCTTTAATGTAATGCAAAGGTTTTAACTCTCTTTATATTAATATAAATGATGGCTCAAAAGTTGAGTCAGACATATTAATTAATATAACAGTTGAGTCATTGCCAGCAACAAAAGTTCTAATGTTGATATTTTATAAAATATCAAATACAATCTGTTGCAAGTTTTAGAAAATCGAGTTTTGTAGCTAGCACATAGATTGTTAAAAAATAAAACTCATTTGGATCTTTTTTCCTTTAAAATGAATGAGCAAGAATACAGTATGTTTTTAAATAAATATTTCCACTCTTGATTGTTACATAGGAAACCAGAAACTGTATTCTTTTTTATTTTTATATTGAGATAACAAGCAATTATTTTAGTTCATTTTAGAGGGAGAGCTGTAATTTTAATCTTTACTTTTTTCTCTCTGTTCTCTTATTAACAGGATATTTGAACAAGGAACTCAAGCATTGATCTGTGTCTTTGTTTAGAACCAAGAAAATTTGCAAACAGGTTTAGAATAAAAACCTTAGAAAATAATTAAATGTTGTCAAAGGAGATTTTCAAAAAATATAAATAATAAAAAAAAATTAATGTGTACCAAAAGTACAAATTTGAGAGTAGAACAACAAATGAAATGCATGAAAATTACCATTTTGGCAGAAATGGTCTAATATTTTTGTAGAAGTTGGTAAAAACATTAACATTTTGAGACAGCAACAAACCTTTAAGAGCAGACATAGCTTCTTTCTTAAATTAAAACAAAATGAGAATTTTTCAAAATATTATGATTATTAATTTAAATTATCCCTAAAAATATAAAAATATATAATTAATAAGCAAACTTCTACTGTAACAATTGATTCTGCTAATTCTAAAGAATTTCTGCAATAAAAGCCATGACAACTGATTAGCTGACATCCTTAATTCTCTTAGAATGCCATTTTCAACAAGTTCTTTGCAGCAAATGCACAGCAGTACAGATACAAAAGATGTCTCGAATCATGTGTGGACATGTTTGTTAACACCAGTTTCATCCAGGTTTTCCCTGTTAGAAGTAGCACAGCTTGGTATGTCTAGATACGAGCCTCTTGGTAAATGCTCATGATCTGGGTCTTTGTAAGATGCCTTTTGCCAATAAAAGCAACAGGAAAACCAACACCAACAGCCTGCAGTTGGCAAGACACAATGTCTTGTGATGTCAGTCCTGCCTGTGGGCATTTTGTCCCTAAAGTTGCTGTGGTTTCTGAGGCAGTGTTATTTTTGTTACTTCCTGTCTCTTTCCCTCTCTGTGCCTATTACCCCTGTAGTTACTGGGAAAAAATCAGTTAGGTGTTTCCCCTCAACCTGAATACACTCTTGCCATACATTACAATATTCTTACAGGATAATATTAAAATATATTCATAAAGATCAAAGTTATCTTCAAGTTAGATTTTAAAAAATCTTTAATGCTAGACAATGTCAACTTTTTATTCTAGATATTTCTCTAACAAGTCTTTAATGGGATCAATTTACAAACTGCAAAGAAAAAAATAGTGACTGTGTAGTTAACAGTTGGTACGTGTTTTCACATTCAAAGATTAGCAAGTTGGAACTTAAAAAAAAAAAAAAATGTAGCAAAGCATCTAATTAAAAAAGTTAAAACCATGCCACTGGTGTTTGATATTTTTTAAAATATGCAGATATCTATAGAAAGGAAAAGTAAAATTTAAATTTAGCTTTTTATAATGTTAAATATATCACCAATTGAATTTAATGACAACAGACATTGAAGTTTTGCAAGTAGTTACGAAAAAGGAATTATAAAGATGGCTAAAAGAACAGCTGAGCTGAAGAGGTGGGATTCATCCATTTGGTGAATATCCTTCCAGATAAAATATGTCAACAGGAACCTATTCATCTATAATGAAATGAAGAAAAAAAACTTTAAAAAATAACTGGGTGTAATTAAGGAAGAGACTAACCTTGTTTTTATGTGCATTAACAGAAGCATAGCGTACTGTGCCCCTGAATCCAGCTGCTGCACGGGGAGGTCTGACTTCACCACTAATGGTTGTGTATTGACGGGCCAGTCCAAAGTCCAGCATGTAAACCTTTTTGCAGTTGTTTGGAAGCCTCCCCATTGCAAAGTTGGACTGGAAATAAATAAAAAAATTAAAAATCTTAAACAAGATTGTTTTGTTTTGATTGCATCATTTATACATCTCTTTAAAAAACTTCAACATTTATGTATTTCAACAATATATGTATTGAAAAACATTTTCAAAACAAGTGAATTTGATCATGAAAAAATATTTGCAACATAAGTTTCTCCCAAACCATCATTTGAACAATTTACATAAATAGAATTTCTTTTAAACAGTTCTTCAGTCAAAATTTTTCTGACTTTGGAAAATTTCAACTATTTTATAAAAATTTATATACAAAAAAATTAAACATGCTAAAAGTTTCCAAAATTATCCATTATTTAATATCAGCAATAATAATATCAGTTCTACACAGAAACATTAAGTATATCATAAAAACAGTTGTTATAAAAGAAGCAAAAATGTTAGAAGAGCTTGTTTTATGATTCAAAGGCTGGAAAAAAGTTAGAGATTTTATTCAATTAAGTTTTTAAAAAAAATTATTTTCCTATTTAAAACAATAGACAAACAAGAAAAAAATGACCAAAGTCAACAGAATTGAGTCTGAACAGAAATAAAAACACATGTCAACATGAATAATAATGATTTGGAAAAAGGTTGTTCTTAATTCCTCCATCAAGAGATAAACAACCTTTGAGCAAATCTGCTGCCAACATGAATTAAAAGGTATTTAGTGGGACATAGTATTACTTGACTGTTAGTAGGTTCAGGTAAACTAACAAAGACGAGTACTATAATGAAAAATTACCATTGATTTGGCCTGAAGGTTTTATTGCAATAACAAGTGGGAAATCTTCTTTGGCATCAAAGAATTTGTATTTCAGCAAAATAATTCAGAAATGAATACAAACACTGATCAGAAATACAAAATTTAGATTCACTTGATGCCACTTTTATTGACTTTAAATCTAATTGTTTCTTAAACAATAATGATATTTCACACCGATAACAAATAAATATATTTTTTAACAAAGCATCAAATGTTTGATTTAACACCAAATTTGTTTTTTAAATTTTCCCCAGCATGCCTAATCAGCTTTGAGTAATGAAATTCCCAGGCAAGCCACAGAGAATTGAAGATTTTACAGCACATATTTATGATACCTGTCCAAATGTAAGCAGTAAAAGCAGTGTTTAAATGATTAAGACTTGAAAAATAAATGCTACAATAATTTAACTATAAGTTTTGCAGAAGCCCTCTTGTAGAGAATGTAGTATTCATTTATGAAAAACAAACACTTCCCTGCAATATTAGAGGAAGGTGGTATATACAAGCAATATATATGCATGCACACTTGTGGGTGGGTGTTTGGAATAAAAAAAAAAAACTGTCAGATTTAACAACTACATCTCTGAACCTTGAAGAATCAAGTTAATAAATGTTCACGTGAAACAAGTAAATTTCTAACCAAGATGTTATCATGCTAAATCATTGGCCATGAGTAAAGAAAGTTGCAAAAGTCAGAGAATTTTAACATCCAAGGAATTTCACATATTGAAAAGAAAAGAAAAGCAATGTTTGACTTTGTGAGAGTTAAGAAGCATTTATAACAATTACTGATATAGTGTTGCATTAAGAAAATGAATTTCCTTATTCAAGTCATGATTTAATTTAATTTTTGAAATTCACTACAAAAGTATCCCATCAAAAATTTCTTTCATCACATCTTTCAAGCTATCTTTAAAGTGCTTGTCATGTAAGATTTTCTTAATATCATCAGTTACATAAAAGAGGTAAATATTGCCTTACATCTTTCAATTAATAGTAGTGAAGAGACACAACCCCCCCCCCCCAAAAAAAAACAATGACAGTGCATCAAAGAGATTTACCTTGTCAGAAGCAGTTTACAACAGCAGAATTTTCAAATAATTTTGAATCAAACTAACTACATCAATAAACTTTAAAATTTCTATATTGTTATGAGATATCAAGAAGACACCAAAGCTTTTATCATTGCATCCATGATAGTCTGACCTTTCTTGAGGTTTGTGTATTTGAAAAGTCAAGAATAATATTCAAAATGCAATAACCCTATTAAGTACTTCAATATTTGAGAATGAATGAGATTAAATAAAACAAACAGAATAGCAAGTCTATTAGCAAAACAATCAATAGAAATATTCACATTAGAACTCCATTATTAGCAGAATTTCCTTTTTGCTGCTGAGATTCCTTCCTAACTTTTCAGTCTCCATTGCTGACAACAACAAAATAATTATAATAAGAAAAAAAGTGAAAGGAAGCATTGAATTTCAGTGAAATTTTCAATTTCATTTGCATTCATAAGTTTAATAAATAGACATACTTGATAGCAGTAATATTTTCTTTATCATCTATCAGTTAAAAAGCGATGTATGTTACATTGCCTAATCAAAAGCAGGTGTGGATCTATTTCATTAATCAAGTTTAGCCTAGAAGGGAATTAGTACATGACCATATTCAGTGATATGTAAGTATACCTGGTATAAAGATAGTTTCACTAATGAATAATTATAACCAAAATATTTCATTGATTTCCCTGGATGGGTTCACATTATTCTGGTGAAGAAAGTAAATCCAATCTTTTAGGAGTTAGACAAAAAAAATATAAAATTTTCAAAAATGTTTAAATTTAATAATTTCCTCTATAGATATTGTTATGGCAATTTACCCACACACACATGGACTCTCCCAGCTATAAATAGGAGCAGGTACTGCCTTTTGAAGAGAAAAGTTTCCAGTAGTCAGCTCTGACAGTCGGACTGAATATTCTTGCTGTAACACTCTTGTTTGTATGTTTGTATTACTGTTTCTCTTAATACATTTGTTTAACTCAATGCCTCTCTTTGTGTCATTATTTCTGGCCCTAACAAGGCCACAAAAGATATTCTTGAGAATTTCTTTTTAATTCATATTAAGCTTTTCTGTCTATAGATTTTGTTGGACGAAAGAGGTTTGAGAAATTGCAACATTTCACTTGGGCCTGAATACTTATATTGTGGAATCTTCCACATTAGCCTTCCACCCCTTTCGGAAAGATGTATTCTTCCCTAAAAAAAAGCCTTAACAAATCACCACTTTGTTTCGGTAAATTCAATCTTCTATTGGTTAGGAAACATTGAACTGTAGCAAAGTTGAAACAGATCCTTTTTCTTGCTGAAGCTCCCTGGAGCTGATTTTTAGACACCAATGTATATAAAAACAACCGCATGACTCAATCCAAGTCAGTCAGTCAAGTTTCAGGAGATGCTACCAAACTCCACGCATGTCAATTTACTGACTCAACATCACTTCAAAATTCTCAAAAAACTCAATACAGCACTCAATCGACTATTGTCCATGTGGTAATCAAATTACAATTGACTTAAAAAGTGAAATGTTTTCACTACACAAACAGTAACTGTAGAATTCATCAATTTAGCCAAACAGTTAAAGGCAAACAACTCTTCATAACAAATTCTAACAAGTAACACATGCATACACACTAATATTTGAACAAACACATTTGAGATTTTTCCTTGCAGAAACCAAATTATTTCAATTTCACTAACAAATCAAAACCATTAATTTTTATTGACCAAATTTCTGCATGAACATTCTTCATAACCTTGTCTCAATTGCCACAATCAATAAATGTTCTGTTATCCTTGCATGTATATCTATTGTCTATTGTATATATAAAAATCTCTTTATTGTTAGATCTCTAACCACTGTGTTTTTAGCAATTTCTTCCAATGCAAATTGTCCTTATATTCTTTATTTGATCTACATGTTGTGGGATAATGCATAATAAGCATGCATAATCTTTGTCTTACATAATTACCTTCTGATACAATTTTCACTCATGCTACAACCTGCAACAATATCAGTTTTATTATTTCTTACCAGCAATTTTTCCAGTTCATAAAATACTCATCGGGTAATTTATTCTATGCATGGCTGTTGAAGTCATGATTAGAGAAACAAGAAAAATTCACAGTTGGCAATGGAAAATATTAAATACCAATATTGAATTGGATACCAGTCACTTGCATATCTATACTGAAATGACTGAAAATGGCTAATATCAAATTCAAGTAATTATCTTGGATTCTCTGAAGCATAACTTCCGACTTATTTGAGCAAAGATAGAACAAGATAATCACCAAGCAGTTTTGTTGTTCTGAGGAATTCTTGGATTTTTGAGCTCTTACCAAAGATACCATAAAACTTGGTCTTTGTCATTAACAAAATAAAATGAGTACATAAAGAACAAATCATTAACAGTTTTGATTGCGTTAATATAAATGCAAATTACTAATTATTGCAGAAGTTAATGAAGAAAATAGAATTCAAATGAAGTGGAAATCAAAAGACAAAGTATTATGTGAATGTGTTTGATTAACAATACTGTTTTCAAGTTTGGCAGTGAAATCAATCCATCATTGAATTACAAAAATTATTACAATGAAATGTATTTAAAGAAAGATTGATTGGAGAAGTTACTTTTTTATCATTTGCAATCCAGACACAATTTCAGTTTGTAAGTACTAATTCTGTAATTGCCTGATAAAGCCCTTGTTAAATTCAGGTATGTTTGCTAAATGAGTTAAATATTTGACTGATGTCCTCTTCTGGTAGGGTAGAAAATAGCTTCTGAATTGAAACTCAGCAAAAATAGTCAGAACTCTCTATGAATGTCTACAGTCATTCTAGAAGCAAAGAATCAAGCTACTCATTCATTTTTATGAAACATTCATTAAATAAGGACAGAGAAAATAATACTTTCATTCTAACCAATATCACCATCATATTATTAGCCAAATGTTCCTACAATACAGAAACTGAAAGAAACTATATATATATATATATATATATATATATATATATATATATATATATATATATATATATACATAGAGAGAGAGATACTGAGTATTGATTGGAACAGGAATCAAAATCTATTCTTTATGATACAACTGAAATAATGTGATGCAAGAAACCAATTTCTTTTAAGGTTTATAAATAT